TATATTACAGATGGAAATCACGTACATCGTCGAAAAACCCTTGGGATAGTCAACTTGGACGAGCACTGTCGATTTTCAGGGCTCGGCATCGTGGATCAGCCTAGCATGTAGATATTCAAGGCTGTGCAAAAGGTCAAGAGACACATAACATACATTAATGTGAAATGGCTTCTTGCCTGTCTTCTGCGATCAATGAAGATGAGTGAGAAAGGCTGTTGAAGAGACCTGATGCAACATACCACCTGAAAGGATGACCGGTTGTCAGTGTGATTGAGGATGAAATGTACACAAGCTTACATTGTCTGATAGAAGGTGACTGAGGCCAGCTTCCTTGATGATAGCAGAGACATCCCATTTGTATATGTCCTTGTCATCGCAGCTAGTGACGAGCGACCTTCCATCCATGGAAAAGGTCGCGCAAATCACCAAGTCATCATGGTAGAAGGGTTGTCCGATGGGCCGATTGGTTTCTAGGTTCCATAGTCGCGCTGTCTTGTCATATGATGTGCTTGCGAGGATGCGTTCATTTGGAGACAGTGAAATAGCATGGACAAAATTGTTGTGTCCCTCCAGAACAGCGGTTTCGGTCCAGGTGGCAGTGTCAAATTTCCTGATTTGATAGTTTCCCGTGCCGGCGATATTGCAGATTGACCCGGTGATAAGCGTCTTTCTGTCTAAGGTCCATGCCAGGCACTGAACTGTGAAGTTGAGTGTTTTGAGCAATTCGCCTGTGTTGGCATTCCAGACTTTCAGCCCCTGCCCATATGAGCCTGTCGCAATCATCATGCCATCAGGTGAGTAACAAACCGCACATATCATGTTGTCTTTCTCTGCCTCAATTGGTCCAAGGATCATCTTTCCACTCTCAATGTCCCATACTCTGAATGTCCCACTGCCGCACCCGCTCACCACTTGCCCTCCATCTGGACTCCAGCACACAGACCACACTTGCATTGTGTGCCCCGTCAATTTTTTGATGACCTTGCCTGTGTCAATTTCCCACAATCTCACTGTACCATCATCACTCCCACTTGCTACTGTCTTGCCGTCCGGCGATAGTGCTATGGCGTACAGAGACATCCATCCTACTCCATTGTGTTATCTTCTCTAGCACGTGTGTAAGGACTCGTAGTCCCCTGGTGACGGAAACCCTTTCTTTACGTCCATATCATATTCAAGCCTCTATCCCCTATAGCGCCACTGTCAACATTTCCTAGATTACTTTCGTTACTCTCCAACACCACCCCCTTCCCACTACATTCCCACTACATATTTAAGTATCCATTCGCGTCGTACATCCAGCAGCAGAAATTCACAGCGCACAAGAGGGATGCTCAATTCTAAAATGTTGTTGTCGCTGTGCACTTGACCTTACGGTCATCCGTTCGTAAGTTACCTACACAGACCCTAAACCTTTCCTAATTTGTTCACCACCGCTCGGTTAAATCTTTGCATGGAAGAAGTTCTAAACCTTGTCGCAGAGTGTCCGCTTACTAAATGTCGTTAGAGTAACTAACTGAGGTCTGCAAAATAGTCTAACGCGGTCATATACCAAGTCTGAACTTGGAGCTATTTTGCAGGCAATTGTGAATTAAGGTGAGATCTGTCGATCGTCAAAGGAGACTAGATGTGTGTAACATCGACACGAGTTTTGTCAGTTGGGGTGGGGGTTTTGGCTGTGGCCTGGTTCAGCTTTTGCCGGGTCGGGCAGACCAAAATTATCCGTTGAGTTGACGAACAATTGAGATAATTGTTGAGTGAAGCGAAAAGAGGTCAAATATGCGCGGGATGAAGAGCGCGAAAATATCGACCAGCGGATGAGACACAGCCTGAAACCCTCGAGTGTGAGGCAGAGGTTTTTGAAGAGTTTTCTAAAGCACGACACAACCCATAACAAGCGAGTGCTTACACAAAGTTGTGCAGAAAACACCGACACCCCAACTAATGAAGACTTGTGCTGATTTCCATATGTTGTTGCACCTCATGATGAACCAAGGGCAAGTCAAAGGTGCCCAGCCAGAGTCCATTTCGAATGCGAAGAGGGGTGCAGACAGGGGGACGGTCGAGTTGGCTGCCATGTGGTGTACAAGTGCGTCGTAAGGGTTCGTTGGGTTGTCGATCCTTGTGATTGAGATTGAATTGCCTTCCCCTTGCATAGTCTTTGACCAGGGTATGCGGAGAGATGCATATTTAACACCACTGGCAGTTACTTGGTGAGTGATTGGGGAAGAGCATGCGACGTGACGGGGGGTGTCGAATGAATTGAGTGATGGAATGATGAGTTCTCCTGAGTCTGTAGGTGTGTGAGTTAATGGGAAGTTAATGGAAAGGAATGGTATGCAGTACCTGCAACAGGACCAAAAGGCTATGCTAGCCACGCAATAAACTGCCGAATCGAACGAGTTGGAGAGGTCAAGATGGCGGAAGAGTGTGTGCATGTGGTCCAGGGTCACGGGTGGTCTACATGGACGTTTGGACGTTTCAGGTATGACCTTCGCCAGTCCTTGCTTGGTTCTGCGAACGAGTGCGTGACCGTGCCACTGCGTGCTGTTGAGTTGGTGCCAAAAGTGAAGACCCACAAGCCAATAGTCTGTGGTTGTTTCAGCAGCGCGGCCGGCCCAAGAAGAGATGAAGGCTGCAATGATGTGTTCTGGTGCTGGAAGGTGTCGTTCCTTGGGGACAGAGATAGAGTCGCAGAACTGGTGGAACCTGAGAAGGCCCACACCATAGTTCTCTCTTGTTTTTGGTTTGACAGAGATTAAAAGTACATTGAGAAGGCGTGAGGCCATTGCAAGGGGAAGGTCATTGAGGAGACCTGAATGAAAGGATTCTGAGTGTGGTGCTGACCAGAGGCGAGCTCTGTCGCGTGCAAGAACATGTGGGCGAAAGTTGGAAGGTGCAATGATATTTGCTGGTTTGGGTTTATGGGGCTTGGGAATTCTGTGAGTAGTGGTGGGTGGCACTCCGATCTCAGGCAGCTTCTTCAAAGTGTTCCTAAGTCGGACCAAGGCTGTCACCATGTCAGCATTGGCTGACTCTGACGAAGGTTCGTCAGACATGAGGTAGGATGAAAGGGTCCAGCTCCGGAGGTAGCTGGATGAGGGGTAAATGAGTGCTCGTCGGACCCGTCTCACCATGAGAGACAGGGTCCGCTTTATTGACGAGCAACTCGATGTAAGTGAGGTGATAGAACATGTTGGAGTCCATTGCTATGGCCTCCACACGATGGATGCAGGAGTTGACCTGGAAGTTTCTACTGTGGCCGTGCTTGAAAGCACCAATGACGCCTTGGTTATCGGAATGGATGAGGACTGAGTGATCCTTCCATCCGAACTTGAGCAGTGTGATCACAGCCAGCTTGATGACGATTGCCTCGAGCCAGCCGATATCTCAGCCTTCACCTTTCCATCCTTTGGTAATGTGCCATGTGCTCCATCTTTTGCCGAACGTAAGCCCAATACCCCAGTCTGTGGAAGCGTCGACCCAAAGGTCAATGTCTTGAGGAGGGCCTCTAGAAGTGAGGTGATGTGTGGGTGGAGGGCATGATAGCACTGAGTGCCACCATTTGAGGTCAGAAAGCACTGAAGGTGGTAGTTTCCATCTCGCAAAGTGGGTGTTGAAGGAGAACTGTGAGATGAAGCGGCAAAGGTTCAAAAGGTAAGCCCTCCCGTGGGGAATGATGAAGGCGACGTGCAATAACGTCCCATTGATGCTCATGGCCTCTTTGTGAGACATAAAGGGTGAGGACGACAAGGCTCGGAGAGTGCTCTCGAGCTTCATGAGGTACTTGAGTCATTTGGGCTTGGGTAAGGACATGGAACACTTGATGAGGTCCCAAAGGAATCCAAGGTACATAAAGATCACGTTGAAGTCCGTGCACTTGTCTGGGTGCCATGGAACGCCTAGCAGGCGCGTTGCTGTGAAGACATCTAAGAGATCGAAGAGGTATTTGTATGGTAAGGGGGGGCTGTCTGGGCTGATGACGCCGCCTGCCACGGGGAATCGAAAAATGGAGTGGTTGTCCACCCATTTCTTGATGGGGGTAATGTCCATGCAGTGCAGTATATCAACTGTGGCGTCTGCTATGTGACCTTGAACACCACCAGTGGTTGTGAAAATTGTGATCGATCCAGAACGAACCGTCAAAACTGACTACCAAGAATCTCTTGTGCAGTGGCCAAACTGGCACTGTTCGGTATGCGGCCTCAATGTCAAGGGTTGCTGCCTGAGTGCCCAGCGGTGTGGTGGCCACCTGACAGGTGGTGAGCATACAGTGTAAAGCAAGAAAGTCGCACATGCTGCGACGCGGACTGGGGTATGAGAAGAGGTGACAGCACACTACAGTGCTTTGTGCCAAGAAAAGAGCTCAGCCAGGCGCGGTCAGGTGCCTGACTAGCAACGAAGAGGTGGGCGACACCGCACAAGGTAAAGAGCTAGTCTAGGCACATATATGCACCTAGCTTTGCAATAGGGAAAGGAAGGGGCGGGTGACACCGCGAGAAAAGAATGTGTATGAGTGCTACTCACTATTTCTGCGACTTGTGAGGCCGTGCCCAAATCTGTTGGGAAGTCGTCAGCGTTGAGGTGTTTGTTCACCGAGTAACCATCCTCTTTATTGCGGTACAATAAATCCCTGATGATACGAAATTTTCCAGGGGATCCTGCTTTTTCGATGAGGCCAAGGGGTGAAGAGACGAAAAACCCTCCCAGCTCGGCTTCTACCTGAGCCGCTGAGAAAGGTCCTGACATGTGATTGAGTAAAAATTCTTCAAGATATGAACGAATGACGTCTGGGTTGTCGAGAGCTGACTTGTGGTTGAGGGGAGTATAGGATCAAGTCAGGACAGGCATGTTGCCAGTGGGAAAGCCATGTCTAATGTTGTGCACAAGGTCAGGATAACGTGAAGTGAGGTCAAACTTACATCAGGAAAAACTATATCTCTATATAGAGGACCATCCTCTATATAGCCCCGATAGCACACCACAGCTCTATACAGTCTATGGCAAGCTATCACAGCACTATAGACCAGTATAGACATCATGAAAGTCTATATATTACCATAAAGTTTGGTAAGTGTATTTAGAAGTAAAACATTTCAACAACTATAGACCCCAGTAGACCGTGGGAACTTTTTTCGATGAAAACCAAAGTTGTAGTCCTTGTCTAGGGAAGTCTATCCATAGTCTTATGACTTCAATAGGTTAAGATCCTAGTGAGTTATAAGGAAAATACTCGAAATTGAAGGGTTCAAGAAAGCAACTTGACCATGGGAACTTTTTTCAATTAAATCAAAGTTGTAGTCCTTGTCAAGGGAAGTCTATCTATAGTCTAATGACTTCAATAGGTCAAGATCTTAGTGAGTTATAAGGAAAATACTTGGAATTGAAGGGTTCAAAAGTGTTAAGGTACACCTTATTTATGTAAGCAAAAATGCGAAAATTCACCTTATGTGTATTCAAAATCCTAATGCTAACAGTCAATTTCATTGTCTTTTTCTTACTGTCATAATCCTAGTCCTATTAACCAAAAACTCGAAAATTCACCAAGTCTTGTGTTGTGGCTTTGTTTGGCACTGCTTATGTAAGCAAAAATGCGGTCAACCAACAAGTCTTTTCCCATTCTTTCCTTCCCCCCCCACTGCCCCCTCATTAGATTATCTTCCATATTTTTCTTACAATTTTCGAGTTTTTGCCTCTCTTCTCTTCTTCTTGCTTCTCTATCCTTCTCTTGGTGTTGATGTTGTTGGTGCTGGTACTGGTGCTGGTGCTTTGAACTCTGGTAAGTCTCCCTCCATAATTTTCGCATTTTTGACTATTTGACTAATCTTTTTTCTAACCCTCTCCTTCTAGCTCTCTTCCCTCCTGCTCCTCCTCCCCCCAACTATTTTCGCATTTTTGACCATTTGGCAAGTCTTTTCTCTGACTCTCACTTCCTCCTGTCTGATCCTCTCCTTCTAGCTCCCTTCCCTCCTCTTCCCTCAAGAATTTTCGCAATTTTCACTATTTGGTAAGTCTTTCTTTTTTTTGTATTCATCTTTCCTCTCTGATTCTTCCTTCTAGTTCTCTTGCCTCTTCCTTCTAGTTCTCTTGCCTCTTCCTCCTGTAATTTTCGCATTTTTGCCTGTTTTGTAGTTATTAGTTTACATGTATTGTAGTAGTTGAAATATAATTTGGAATTTTCGCTTTTTTTTAATTTTGAGAACACTATCATGGCAACAAACAGCTATTAAGAGAAATTTTTGCTTTGTGTTTTGAGCTATAATAGCTACAATAGTTGTGGTATGTTCCACCCAGCTATAGCAACTTTAATAGAGCTATATAGCACTATACACTGGTGTAGTAAGCCTGCACAATTGGGCACTTGGCTATACGAGCTATAGGGCTATGGAGTCTGTATAGCAGTCTATAGCACTATGGGTGGCTATATAGCCTTACCACATTTTCCTGATGTATGCAACAGTCGTTCGAAGGCGTTGGCATGGTAGGGCATGACAATGCGCTGAAGGATACTATTAGCATGATTTTGCTGAAGCAGCATGTGATTTGCTGCCGCAGATGGAGCAGACATGGATAATGTCCATTCCATGCTTGCCCGGTGTGCATCTTCCGATGTTGTGGGAGATGCAGACGATCACTGAAGAGGACTTGAGCATGATCTTACCCTGCCAGACACAGACAAGGGGGGAGTTCTTGATGGTGTGGGTGAAGGTACAATTGCTGGCCTTGTGGCCGTTCCGACCGCAGAGAAGGTAAAGGGGTCCGTTGGACAAGATCTCTTTGCCCTTCCGAAAGGACTTCCCATCAGTGTTCAGTTGGGCGGTAGCGTCCGCCTTCAGTTTGGCTGAGTTCTGGTACGGGTGGTAGCGATTATTGCTGTTGGACCCTTCAAAGTGAGACATGAGCGCCATCAGCCTCTGGAGTTCCCTGTTCGCGTTGGCCGCAGCTTCGTCTGACTTGTCCCTGGAAATCTTCGTTAGTGTCTCATTCCAGCAACATTCATAAGCGGCATCAGTGAGCAAGGACTTTGTATTGAAGAAGATTCTGCGAGTCTCAATATTGAAGGCAAGGACTGCTGAAAAGTTTTCTTCAAAGTGTTTGCGTGACAAGCAGAATAGGCGATGCTTCCTGAATTTTTCTTGGATAGCACCTCCCGCAATACGGTTAAGTAGCTCCATGAAGTTTTCGTAGGCCTCGTAAAACTGTATGGGTGATGGTGAAGATTCTGGTGGGAATCCAGAGGTGTCCATTACCGACTTCTTGGGGTTGTCGGTGACGAGTCCCTTCTTCATGATGATGCACGAGGGGTCGTTGTGGATCTTCTCCATGACTTTGGCTGTTAGGAGCATGAGAGGGACGTGCAGCTTTGAGTCTGCAAGATTGATAATTACACGCGGGATTTCGAATATGTTGTTGATGGATGATACCATCTTGATTCGTTGTCGTTGTATGCGAGTGATTTGCTTGCGATCGCGGAGCTTGTGGCTGCTGGGGCCAGATCTGTGAGGGCAGGAGTAGTAGCACCCTGTTGTCGTCCTCCCATGAGAGAGTCAAACGCAGATCGTGAATGCAGAGTCAATGCGTTAACAGCTCTGTACGCATTAATGAGAGGCATGTTGGTATCAACAGGGTCAGGGTTCGGAAGGGCACAAGATTCAGGGCATGGGAGATCCAAAAGGGACTCGTCGTCGGAAACATCACCTGATGTGGTGTCCCTGTGGTCAGCACGTTCACTGTTGCGGGCTATATGCGCGTCATTTTCGCACTGGATTAAGTCTCTCGAGGATAGGACCCCCCTAGACCTAACCCTGCCAATGCTGTCGGTGATTCTGTCTGCGTTGTTAGCCTGATTACCTGCATTCAGGTTCAGTGCAGTGGTGCTTTTTCCACCTACACCTCCCAGCAATCCAGAGTGAGACACGTTATTGGTCATGATTGATACTGAAGACGATTAGTTTTAATGATAATGCATTGATCTCTCACTTAAGATAAACTAGACAAGCGAGTGTGTAATGAAAGTGAGATGAAAGACGCGTCTATCAGAACGCATCTTAGTTACGTGATCACTCGAAATTAGTAAGCACTAGTTTGAGCTATTTGTTCTCAGGTTCACGCATAGCTCAAACTGCACTCGTCCTAATCCTCACCATACAGTAGCTACCTAAACCTTTTCATGTAGCAGTATCCCTCAACCTTTTCATGTAG